CTGTGAAAGGCCTGAAGCAAGTCGATCAGGGCATGCAGGAAGTATGGCAGGCGAACGCAGCTCTCGTTCCCTCTCAGGGAACCAGGGTTACATACGTAACCTGAGACGTTCCCTTTCAAGGGAACTTCGAGCTGCGTTGTCAAACGCGATGGGAACCCCATACCCACTACGCCATGCTGAGAAATGCCCGTTCTGTGTGAAGTCCTTGCGCACACTAAGAAGCAAGCAACCTAGCCCCAGGAGTGGAGAGGCCAAGGTCATAAAATCTGACAAATGTATGCAGAGAGGACATCCTGACGCATTACAAAAATCGAGAAGGGAAACACTCGGAATAAAGGCCGTAGAGGCCGCCATACTTCTAGTAGAATGGGCCCGAACAGCCATAGGTGAAAGCTGTTCAGCCGCTTCATAAGCTAATGATATAGCCTCGACTATCCATTTGCTCATAACCTGTTTAGATGCAGGGGACTCTTTCTTGAGTGACCCAAAGCAGACAAATAATTGTTCAAAGTTACGCCACAGGGCAGCTCTGTGAACGTAGGCATCTAATGCCCGAACTGGACATAACAGGTTCAGTCGTTCCTGATCTGGGGTATTAAAAGGTGGAGGATAAAAGGCCTGCAGCACTATAAGGCCCCCAAAAATTAACTGGGACCTAAGGAGTATAACCCGGTCTAGGGTATAGAAATGCTTTCACCATACCCGGTGCAGATTCCAGGCATAAAGGAGCAACCGACAGGGCATGCAAATCTCCTAATCTCCGGTAAATGAAACCGCAAGGAGAAATGTTCTCAAAGTGAGGAATTTTGGAGCCAAAGCCAGACCCTCAAGTACAATGGCCAAATCCCAAGCCGGTGCTCTAAGTGCAGTGCAGGTTTCAACCTCATGTACCACCGAGAAAAACTAGTAATTAGAGGATCTCTCCCGATAGAAGTACCCCCCAGAGGGGTGTGGTAGGCCGATATAGCCACCACGTAAACCTTTAAGGTAGAAGGAGATAATCCAGCAGAGAAACAGTCTTGCAAGAAATCAAGAACTGTACCAACAGGGCAGTTAACAGGATCTTGGTGATGTTCGCCACACCAGATGGAGAATAATTTCCATTTCAATGCATATAGTTTCTCTCGTGGAAGGAGCTCTGGATTGAGAATGGTCTCAACGACCGGGCCTCCTCAGAGGCCAAGCCACAGTATCCAAACTCCAAATGAGGGTGAACTCTCAGGAGCAAAGATATCGGGAAATGCGTATACCGGTGTAGTGTTAACCACACCTAATACATCACATCCAGTCCAAGCAGAGCTGGATGTGTGAGGGAGAACCAAATAGAGCAATGCGTTGTACCAACGATGTGAAATGTCAACTGACTTTAGTTTGACTTTAGTTCTCCCTAAGAAACTCCACCACCTCTGGGGTGAGTCTCCATTCCCTGGGCCTCAGCCCCTGCCTCAACAGGATATCTGCTCCGATATACGAGACCATCAGTGTTTTATCTGAAAGGACAAACACATAGTGACCTCTAGGGTCTGGCAGGAAGTTTTGAGATTTCCGGGAATACCGCCATCACTTTTAGCCAATTATGTGCTAAAAGGTAGATGGTCCTGCCAAGTTCCATCCGCCGAGCAACCACTCATGATCACCCCCATCTTGTCAGGGAAGCATCCGTCGATAGCATTATGCGTCGACAAGAAGCCCCAAAAACTGGGCTTGGGTGAGGGACCAAGGCTCTTCGACATGACGAAGCACGAAGGCAAAGCCGCGTGACCTTGATCATGCGAAACGTTTTTCTCCTCGGAGAAAACCCCTTGGTCCTGAGCCATCACTGCATGGGTCTCATGTACAAAAGGCCAAAAGTAACTACGTTGGACACAGCTGCCATGAGAGACACCAGTCTAAAAAATGCTTGACAGCGAGTAACTGGCCTAGATATACCCCCCCCCCCCAACTTGTGAGGGAAGCATCCGTCGATAACATTATGCGTCGACAAGAAGCCCCCAATAATGGGCCTGGGCGAGGAACCAAGGTTCTTCCTCAAGACCGAAGCACGAAGGCAAAGCCGCGTGACCTTGATCATGCGAAAAACGTTTTTCTCCTTAGAGAAAACTCCTTGGTCCTGAGCCATCACTGCATGGGTTTCATGTACAGAAGGCCAAAAGTAATTACGTTGGACGCAGCTGCCATGATATATACCCCATTTACTGCTCTAAAAGACTACACCTAGAAAAGTGGTCCTCAGAGCACACTCTTCTTGGCGTTGAGCAACAACCCCCAACATCTTAAAATGAGACAGAACGACATCTCAATGCCGAACTGCCACATGCTCAGATTGAGCTAGGATCAATAAATCATTGATAGTATAATACGCAAATGCCCTGGAGTCCAGAGGAGCCAGAGCTGCATCCACGCATATTGAAAACAAAGGTGTGGGGTGTGAACCATGGCTGAATAGGAGAACCCGATATAGGTATGCTTCGCCCCCGAAAGCAAACCTCAGGAACCTTGTGTGATGAGGATGGAAAGATAAGTAAGCGTCCCTTAAGTTTATTGAGAGAAACCAGTCCTCGGACTGAATCTGTGACACAATCATATTTAAGCATATTGAACTTAAGATTCTGAATCCTGCTGTTTAATTGACACAGGTCCAGAGTAGGACGCAACACCTCATCCTCTTTCAGAAACAATGGAGTAATGGCTGTCTGCTGGGAGGAGGAATCCCTTCTACAGCTCCTTTTACAGAAGTGTCAATACTTCCTGCTCCATAACCAAAGCCTGCTCGGGTCCACCACTACGAGGAGGACGCCTAGAAATCTGGGCGGACAAGAACCGAACTGAATTCTGAAACCCTTTTCTATAGTGTGCAGGACCAACTGAGAAATGTGTGGCAGTAGTTTTCACCCTGCCAGAAATTCTACTAGGGGAACCAGTCTCTCAAGACTGGCCTCTGGATTTGCTTGAACAATCATTTCGGTGGCCTGAAGCGGCGAACCGACAGGAAGCAACCGAACTGACCGCTCTACGACCCTCCTCGGAGGATCGTATGGGGACGCTGACACCTCGGTGTCCTGAATGGCGAACCGGCAGGAAACAACCGAACTGGCAGTGCTGCGACCCTCCTCAGAGAGTCGCACCCCAGAGGTTGCCGAGGAGAAACGATTTCTCAAAATCGTCCCTGCCCCGGAGGAGCCCTCAGAAGCCTGATAGCCTCATTTTCTTGTCTAAGCTTTATTAGAGATGATGACAGTCCTCAGATCTGCACTAGCTTAGTTCACTAGCTTAGTTCCTACGACCCTCCTCGGAGGACCGTTGGATAAAGCAGGCACCTCGGCGCCCTGAAACGGCGAACCGGCAGGGAAACCGAACTGACTGCTCTTTTTTAAGGCTCGTTTGGGGACACTGAGACCTTGGTGCCCTGAAACGGCGAACCAGCAGGGAAACCGAACCGTCAGTGCTGCGACCCTCCTCAGAGAGTCGTGCCCCAAAGGGCACTGAGGAGAAATGATTACTCAAAACCATCCCTACCCCAGAGGGGACCACCCTTAGAAGCCTGACCGCCTCAGCGTCAGGGCTTCTCCTTTGTCCAAGCTTTTTTAGAGATAAAACAGTCCTCAGATCTTGCATTTCTCTAACTGGCTATAGACTGTTCTGTTTGCACCTTGTGCTGCGAGGAGCTTAATAAGCCGAGACTGCTCTCGTCCAGCAGTCTCGGGAACATTGGTGAGGAAGAAACCTCTGGAACTAGTAAAACCTCTAGTTTTCTTGAAAGCGGAGCGTCCAGAAGAACAGACATATTTTTATTTTCCCATTATCTTTATATCGGAAAAAACATATATGTACATATAATTCTGTGGCCACCAGCGGGAACAACCGAACTGGCAGCGCTGCGACCCTCCTCAGAGAGTCGCTCCTCACACACATTCCATACCCACCAGGGCTGCCTAATAAAAATTTATTCATTATTTATGATGGCTGGTGGGTAACATCGGGGTTAAAAACGATGACACCGACTCGGGAGAGAGAAAGCTTGCAAGCGTCTCTTAACCCGATGCACTGAAATACCCAAATGTTGCTATAATATGGGGATTAAACACATAAAATATAAACCCAGATGAGGAGGCTGAGAAACAGAGTTTTCTAGTTTTTAAGATACATTTAATCTAAAAACTCTTATTTATTTTTCAATCTCATAATGTTCAGCTAGCCAGTAAAATTTTAACTGGCAAAAGCATAAATAAAATCTCCTTTTAAAAGCTCCTCTTTATTCAGCAGATATGAGCTGACTTATTTATTCATTCATTTAAAAGTCAAACATCTGCCTTTCTCTTAACATTTTTATTTGTTTGTACTGTTTCTTTTTAAAACAAAACACTAACGATACCAATTCCTCGGAACTGGAAATCGCAGTCCAGATCTGGCATGTGAAAGCTGAGATAGAGCTGAGCTCGTCCCAACCCCCGCTGTCAGATCCGTTTGCGAACCCCGAAATGCGAGTAGTCTCCGTGCCTCGGCAACAGCTGGACCCGCGCGGGGACCGCGAACCGAACCGTCCAGCGTCCTCGCGGACAGCTTTTCGCAATGCCAACAATCAGCTCCCTCGAGAACTGACTGCTGGCATGCTCCACTCCCAAACAAATAGCTGATGTGTGTCCCCACCCGTGATGTAACGAGGGCAGGGAACCACACAGCGTCTATAATCTTGCTTGCCATAAATATAGATAGTGATGTATATTTATTTTCTTGGCTTTGACAAACAACAATAAATAGACAAGTACAGATCGCTTGCTGAAGGCTACAGAAGCTGTCGCGGTCTGATCTCAAGGGTGCTTTATAGTTTCCTGGTCGATGACGTCACCTGACGTCCTACTCTCTCTTTGGACTGATTGTACAGACGCTTCACGACGCAATCAGAGCGTTCCCATCGCGTTTGACAACGCAGCTCGAAGTTCCCTTGAAAGGGAACTATACTTTAAAGGCATTTAGCACAAAAATAAATGAAGGCATGGTAATTGTTTTAAAGTCAGTTTTATTGTGATCATCAATGAAAAAAAGTATTGATTTAATAAGATACAATAAAAATCAACTTCAATGGTAAAATCAAGCATAATCAGAAATCATTCAAATAATGATGATAAGAAGATGATTAACATAATTTTTAAGAGCAAAATCTTTAGCAAAATAACTTGCATTTTCCTCACATAAACACTTCTTTATGATGTATTCAACACAGCCCAGTGAGCCCCAATGGAGGTAAGGGCAAACCCATCCTGTCGACCGCTGAGGAAGCGTAGTGCACTTCCATCATGAGTCGGGTAGAGGTTAAATGACAATCCAGCAGACTGTCCCACTTTGAAAGAGCGGCCCTCATTAGTGACAAACATCAGCTCAGTGATGTAACCACCGTAATACTTTCCAGACACCTGAACGATATATTCGTGGTCGAAGAGTGTCATCGTCCTTTCATTGCCATAACCGTTCGTGCCAACCAGTTCCGTCCAGTTACCATCATATTGCAACTGGAGCCTAAACAGATAGGGAATGTGCCCTGCATGTTAAAATAACTCACAGCAAAATACCATATCATGAAAACAATACAGAATAATTACTGGTGGTAAATAACAGAATGTTGAAATTGCCATGAAGTCTTTTATCTGTTGCAAACTGGATTTACTGTGTGTGCAGGCAACCGGTCCAAAAATGATGACAGGTCAGGTTCTTTTGGAATTGCCTAAATGTGTAAAGCAGTACTTGGGGAAACTTACCCATTGATGTAGTTGTAGTAGTAGTATCCGTAGTAGGGATATTCATAAAGTCTGATTCCAGTGATGCGACCCTCTTGTGAAGTGGTAAATTCAGTTCCAGTGCCGTCCCCGACAGCAGGGGAGTACGAGTAATTATCAGGTATAGCTGGAAAGGTAATTAACAGCTATCAGTCTTTAAAAAAAAAATGTTTTTTTTCTTCAATTGTGACCTGGCAATGTATTGCTATTCTGCTTTTAAAATGTCTTAATGCCTAACAATTGATGCATATTCAATTAGTCAACAATGATTTAGAAATTCTGACTTGAGTTGAGTTAGTGATACTCACGCATGGTCATGCTCATGGCATAAAGGCAAGAGAGTACCACAAAATAAGGGAGCATTTTGGAATGCTTAGTTGTTCACTGCCCTCTGAGAATCTAGAGCAAACCAAACACAAGTGCTGCGTTATTAAACTGTGAATTCTTTAAGAATGTTTTAGCAATATGCAGATGACACTGTTTAAGACATAATAAATTATGATTTAAAAACAAGCAACACAATTTTTATCGTATCCACAAAAAAAGAATTGACAAATAGATTGATGAAAAACTTAAGAGCATTCATTCATGATGTACAATATTGTTAATTGATGTCATTACCTGTAGTCAAGCCTGAGTAGATGTTCGTTGAAGAAGACAGCAAACCAAACCATCATTTATACTCTCTTGCTGGCCCAGCCTCTGCTTTTTTTATTTTTAGATTCTTTCACACTTCATAGTTGTTTCTGAAAAGAAAATATTTCAAAACAGAATTGCATTGTTGTTGATCACCTGTTGAAATGCATCACCTGATTCTTTTCTGGAACACATATTTCCTATTTTAAATGAATGTATGTTGTCAGATAATTACCAGAACAAGTTTTAAGCAATGTAACGTATGTAGCAGTAAACCTTTTCCAGTAAAAATATTTCTTGTTTTCTAAAAAAAAGTTTGCACTTCTGATAATTACAAACCTTTGCAGCACGTAGGCCATTGGAAACTATATATTATATATTCTATACTGTATAGGTGCAGGATGTTAAACACAGTCAGCATGATAAAATAATATAAATATAATAAAATAAAACAGGACATCTGGTGTGAACCATTATACAATTATACATATATATATATATATATGGGTAACCTTTGAACAGGAGAGTCACTGAAAGACCTTATCACCCATGGGACCTTTAGTAAAACAACTAAAGGAAATATCCCTGCAGTTAATGTATTGCTTCAAATATCATCTTATTAGGGGATAATTCGTTTAATCTGTGTAAATTGTTACAGTACAAAGAATCTTTTGTAAAAACCAAGAAAACTTGCAGTGGGTGGAATGGATTGTAACTCTATTAGAAAACATGCACATCAGTTTAAAATGTGCATATTAAGACTCATACTGTAATTTTTCTACAAACCTTTTTAACCCCCCATACTTTTAATATGTAACAAAGAACATAATCAGATGATGCTCTGTCATGTCACATGCATTAATTTCCTTCTGGAAACGTTGTCACGCATGACACATGCGCATGAACAAGACCAAACTGAAATATTTAGCATTGTGATACTATTTAAAAATGTATTACTTTTAAATATGATATTGAAATATGTGTTTGGTAAGACGTTTGAAATATTGGTGTTTCCTAAAATATGATTTCTGTCAAAACACTGTCTAAAGAATTGGACTTTTGTTAAAATAAATAAACACTTAAATACTTTTTTTTGTTTTATGTGTTCTCTAAAAATGGAACCTATGACCTTGGCAGTGCAATGCTCCACCAGCTGCAGGTATCAACATTTGACTGTTGAAACTGTCTTAATTTATAATAGTTATCAAAATATGTATATAATATAAAATATAATATAAAATATGTATACATGTTTATTTGGGCTGAATGTGAGAAAAATATATTATAAACATTAAAGAGGCCCCATCATAGCATTTTAAATGTTCCTATTTTTGTTTTAGGAGTTCCCAAAAACACACACACACACACACACACACATATATATATATATATATATATAATAAGTTTAACATGTATGCAAGGATAAAAAAACACTTTATTTGTCTTATAATATGCATTTATTTTTAACTGATTTGCTCACCAACTCCCAAATGATTCGTACAACGACTCATTTTTCCAAACCACTCCTTTGCGTGACGCGGTGATTGGTCAGATGATAGACCCAGTCAGTTATGGTTTGTTAGCATAACGCATAAACATATTGATAAAGCACTGCAGTACTACAAGACGCTCTATTCTTTATGACAACTCCAATAACAGCGACAAACATTTCACATATTTAAAAAAAATTGACATTGGAGACCTAGAAGCTGCGCTGAGCGTAATTTACACGCACACATACTTATTGTGCCTTCCCTCCTCGCGCCCGACGCTACAGAACCGTTCAAAACCCATAAAGGTTTTGAGTTTGTGATTCGCAGGTTGTGATTCATAGGAGGAAGCTGATCCATATACACTGGGTAAGTACAGTAAGTTACTGAGCCCTCCTTCAGGAACAACCGTTTGCGAATCCACATTTGAATTCATTTATGTTTTTGAACGATTCGTCATTAAAATGAGAACACAATCGGGCTATTCTGTTGTGGTATTGTTGCAAATATGAACTCTAACCACCGATTCTTCACATGCTCATCCCTGGTAAATGAAAACAAAGTGGCTGAACTATCTTTGCATTGTAGAACACAGCATCTTCTCGACATGATGAAGTATTTGAATGTGTAGACGCAAGTTTACACTTCCGCAGTAACTGGGCGCGGCCAATGACCTCTCTACGTCACAATGTAACAGCTAATGACTCCTTTCAAAAACGATTCATTTCATAGACTCAGAGTCGACTCTCACTTTTGAAAGACAATAACTTTATATATGGTGCACTCTCAGATATAAATCTTTGCAGGATGTTTTCATTCCCTTAGAGCTATAGTCCACACCATATGAACAGTCATTTTCAAAAATCCATGATAGGGGCTCTTTAAGAAGACCTATTTAGAATGCTATGTGGTAAAACAAATAATACAATATAGATTTTGGCCAAGCATGAAACACGCTGTCATGAAAGCTCACTATAATTGAGAAATTAGTAATACATTAAATTAATATAAAAATAATAATAACAACAATTAAAAATTTTGGTGTTTCCTCAGTCAGTTAGATTAGATGAAGCATTATAGAAAATATCTGTTTGAATTATTTTCCCAAGATGGCCACCGAGTGAACTGACTTGCCCTAATAGAGTGCCGAAGTGATGACGTCACTATGTAGGACAACTCGGAAGCTAGCGTCGCATGGGTTCCCTCAGTCGAAAAGCAATGCATTTTCCCCATAGACTTAGAAAATCGTAAAAAATAAGATCTGTGTTTAACAAAGAGTTGTGACCCTTAGAGCTGTTTTGAGTTGTTTTGAGTTGTTTTGTCTATCAAGATAATCCAAAATTTATACATTTTGAAGCCTATATAAAGATTTTAAAAAACACAATCAGACGCAATAAAGTTAAAAAAACACAAGGAGGTTATAACAGTGTGTTCTATGTCATAGATCAAAACGTGAAAATATTTAGAGGCTTTGTTCACCACAGACTTTATTTCAGGCGATTTAGCAAAAACCCATTCAAAAATCCCATAGGCTTTAGAGCGAGGGAACCGTAGTGCTAAAATGCTAACTCACTTCCGCGTTTCGGCCTACAGAGTGACGTCGTAACTTCGGCACTCTATTGGGACTTTCTATCACCTCTTACTTGTTTATTCTTTTAGTAAAAAAACAAAGTTATATTCAGTATGTTAATAGGCCTACTGCATGCGCTACTGTAGTTAGTCAACTTGTCGTTTACGTCATTTAACTGAAAGAGATTAAATTGCTAATTCATTATTAGTTACTTAATTCAGTTAGGTTTCATCTTGTGAAAAACTACACTTTAGCATACTTTTAAAAAGTATACTTATTACGAAAATAATCTGAATTTAACTCTTTCTTTATCTGTAATCACTTAGTGTTATAAGCAGAATCTGTGCATAGGCTACACAACCTCTGTTTACATTATTTAGTTCAATACTTTCTCGGGTGAGATTTTCAGTCAATCTTCAACCACCATGTGAGCATCTGTCCCCCAGATGACCTTTTCACCCTTCCTCTCCATGAGATCATCTCACATACCTATGCAGGTATACATTCTTAGAAGACCTGTTGCTGTAACGGGGCGAACAAGACGTGAGACGTGCGGATCCATATGCAAAGCTTTATTCCAAGACATGGTCTTATTACAGGCAAGGTCAATGAGAAGCAAACAGGTGTGGCAGAGGCATGGCACAGAGTAATCCTTAGGGCAAGCGTGGGTAGACGATCGGTGAACAATATCCAACAGGGGCAAAACAAAGAGAGAGAATCCAGGGAAACAGCAATAATCCAGATTAGGTACAAACAGAGTCCAAAGGGCTATAAGTTAATCCAGGAAACCGGCAAGAATCATAACAAGAACAAGGCAAGACTAAGGCTGAATCCCAATTCTCTGTCTTACCCCTTCCCCTTGTAAGGTCCACCCATTGGCCCAAGGACGGAATCCAACGGCTGGGCGAAGGGACAATGCGTGTATGTCTTTTCAGCGCTCCAGCGAAGTTCACTTAATTTATTAGACTTACGTTTAATATTACTTTAGCTCTACGCTTAATCTGACTCCAATTTTTACTGATGATCAAGTTTAGATTGTGTTTCTTATTAGAGAATAACCATAACTATTGATTATGATTCAATTTAGATCTTTGATTATTCAGAGTTTCTTACACTTTCAGTTATTAATCCATTATGGACCCGATGCCGCACAGAGATCACGTCGGCTTAAATGATACCAAACATGAAAAGGTTAAAATGATACTTAAAATGATACCAAACATGAAAAGGGAAAACCTTAGATTCACAAGCAAAACAACAATAAACACCTATCACCCAAATCTTTATTCAGCCTTTGTTGTACCCTTTCCTGTGACCCAAGTGGTTGTGCCTGAGCTTGGGGGATTAAGCCAATGGTTATCAACAATCTTTATTGGGGAATCTCCCACAACAGAAGAACAGGTATTGTTTTCTTGTTCCGCCTGTTCTACCACTCCCACCAGAAGTATTTCTTTTGCCCTCGCATAACACAGCTGGAGGCAGGAGGTTTGTGAGATTTGCATGCCTGAATGAGCCCTGGAGGAGATAAGATAGTGTGCAGAGTCAAGAACCACAACATGGGTGGAAAGATATCAGGTTGGGCCAGTTGTGTGGTGCCCTCTGTCCCTTTGATCTCCTTTACAGATTAGGGAGTTTTTATTGTTTTACTGCAGGTTCGAATTCCTAAATTCAGTCTTAGGAAAATCCTTCCTTACACCCTTACCCCTTCCCCTTAGTTTTGCGCGTTCATGTGAAAGGAAGGGCTATCCCAATTCTCATTTTGATCTAGGGGTAGGGGTAAGGTGAAGGGGTATATACCCCTAAGACCAAGAATTTTTGCGAGCTTACTTGAATCCAAGGGGTAAGAAATGCACAATTTTTTTCGCTTAAAGGGTTAGTTCACCCAAAAATGAAAATTAAGTCATTAATTACTCACCCCCATGCTGTACCAACCCCGTAAGACCTTCGTTCGTCTTCGGAACACAAATGAAGATATTTTTGATTAAATTTGAGAGCTGTATAACTACCACATTGGCT